CTTTCGTGCCCCCAGGAAACCCAGCGAGTGAATTTTGTTGAAACTTGTCACTCCGGGGTTATTGGGGTCGCTGATTACGAATCTAAAGTCAGATTTTCAAAATTCAAAATGGCGGATCCAATATGGCCGACATTTTTTTTTCAAAACTGCTCAGATTTGCATAAAATTTGTTAATCGAGGCTTTTTGGGGTCGCTGATTACGAATTTGAAGACAGATTTAAAAAATTCAAAATGGTGATCCCGAAAAAACCCGAATAACAAGTTTCAAGAGAATTTAATCAATTTAAAAAAATTAAGTTTCGATATTTTTTATCGATATTCTACAAAATGTTTATAAAAATTATAATTATTATCGTATTATGTAATTTCTTATTTTTTTACACATAGTAGTTACGTTAGTGATTAAAACAAGATATATTAATAGTTAATTTGTTTAAATTTATAAGAGTTATATTAAATTTTGTAAGTGGTACATATATATTTACCAGAGGCACGAAAGGGTTAAGAAACGAGAAATTAGGCAAAAGAAGACTCTCTCTCTCTCTAATAAGAGAAAAAATAGAGAAGCAACTAAACGTGTGTGATTGAAATGTAATCGGAATCTCGAAAAGTCATGTGCAATGAATGCCCTTTCACGTGTTGACAACTGTGGGAATCCTGACCTTTGTTAAATAATTTGCATATTTCCACGTTTTAGTGGGCAATAAATTCCTGTCGCTTAGGCAATCACAACAAGGTGAAGAGAGAAAGAGAGAGAGAGTGAGGGAGTCGTTGAAAAGGAGAGGGAAACAAAGAACGAGAAAGAGAGAATAGGAAAAGTAAATGCAACCGAGAGAGTGCGAAAATATAGTAAAACGGAACAGTTTATGCGTCTACCGGTTGTAGAGGCGATATCATGGAAGATGATCGTATTACGACTATATACATATGCAAGTGATTTCAGTCATGTTTTTTAAAATCATGTCTAGATAGAATATACAACCAGTTTTTACTGACACAAAGTCACTTCCTTTACTTTCATACATTTAAAACGCCGACAATTTTTTTTTTTTAAGAAAATCATCATTAATTGCTTCAATTATACTTATATTTTCAACTCCGACTGTAAAAGGAGCTATAAAGAATTATTATCCTCTTTAGTAAAGTATTAGTAAAATATTAGTAGTATTATAAAATATTATAAAATATTATAAATATTATACAGTATCAAGAAGAACCGAATCAAGAGATTATAAAACGGAAAATATTAAATTACTTTTTCTCTTTTTTGGAGAATTTTTTTGAAGTGTTGCGAAGAGTTGCAAATGTTAACACCGTTGACTTTTTGCAATAAAGTGTTGCAAAGACCCAAATTTAAATATAAGAATCGTATATGAGGGAAATTAATCCAAAAAACCGATTGGTGTGATTTTTTTCGAATTACTTTTTTTGTAGAGTGGAACTATATTTTTGAAGTGTTGCAGAGAGAGTATTATTAAAGTGGTAATGTGTTAAAATAACCGTTACTCGAAAGAGTAATGTGTTATCATGACCGTTACTAAAAAAGTATATAATATGTTTCTGCAGTCAATTCTGAACATGTAACGAGTTCCTTGCAACCGTTATTACGAAAAAAATGAAGTAATACGCCAAGTACTGGCAGTTTCCGGCTCATTTTTTCTTTCGCACCGTTGCAGAAATTTTAATGCGCAAATCTTAATAAATAGATATTTCTCTTAAACTATGGTTTAGGAGAAATATAAATGAGTAGTTTTATCCTCTAAGATAGTGACTATTTGGAATATTACTTTACTTTCTACCTTTCTAGAGTTGCGAACGTCTTTATTGGAAATTTGGATATCTGTAGGAATTAGTGGACATCCTTATTGATGCTTAGAAGATTCTTGTAGGCAAACTTAAAATACTTTATTCTTTAGATTTATTTTACTTTCTTGTTTAGTTTCTATTCATTAATAAACAGAACGAGTTTTTAATTTGTTTTTGATAAAATGTACTCTTTGTAAAAAACTTATCAAAATGTTGCTTCGCAACACTTTTGATACGTTTTTTTGTCTCAATTTGATATCCTTAGAAAAACTGTGATAATAATGATCTCAAGAATGTAAATAATATTTCTAGATTCGTTAATAACTTCCACAATAATAGAAACATTCTAAGAGCATCATTGAGAAATTCTAATTTCCGGAAAGCGACATTTAATGCACTGTTAACTTAAAAGTATTAAAATGCAACAGACTGATACCTAAACTTTTAGATTAACTCTAAACAATTTGCTCAAAATTTTTGGTATTAATTTGACATCTTTAGGAAATCTGTACAGTTCATTCGAATATTCTGCAAACATTCTAGAGATTTCTGGTGGATTGCAAACATTGGGATATCCTTAACGTATACCACGAATACCAGAAATGTTAGTGACATCCTAGGAGCATCCTAGAAATATTCTAATTTACGGAAATCGACTGATAATGCACTGGTAACTTGAAGGTATCAAATGGCAACAAACTGATACCAAAAATGTGGATGAAATCCAAATCAGTGTCAGTTTAAACCAATTTGGTATCAATTTGACCCAATTTCGTGTCCAGTTGATCCAATTTGGTAACAGTTTGATCCAATTTTGTGTCTAGTTGATCCAATTTGGTAACAATTTGTTCCAATTTGGCATTAGTTTGATCCACTTTGGTGTATGTACAATCCAAATTGGTACCAAATTGATACCTTCAAGAAAATTACTATTATATGCTATCAGAAGAACAAACCACAACATACGTTACTCTTTTGATATCATCAATATTAATTTATAAACAACATCCGTAAGAAAGAACGGAAAATTTCATGTGCAACATACCAAATAGTCCTGTTCAATACCAACTAATATCAATTCTTTAAATTTTGCCCCTAAATTTCAAGTTCAGATACAAATTTTTACAATAAAATTTTCTTTTTTCCCAATTTTTGAAACTGAGAACAAAAGAGATTCTTGTAAAAATAGCCTAATGGTTTTTTAAGATAAGCAAAGTTGATAAAGAAGAAAAAAAAGGCTCAAAGCTTCTTTTTTCTAATATGAACAACTTTTTTTTGTCCATATTCTTGTACATGTAAATTTATTATTTACGTATATTTATATCTGTCAGAAAATCTTTTAAGAGTGAATTATTCACGATACAAGGGGAGTAGTAGCAGCAGGTGTAATGCAGCGTATCAGTAGAACCAACCTTTTATGCTCCGTCTAACGAAGCTCTGCTGTGTACTAACCGTTCAGAGAAAATTCGCAAGTTGTGTCATATATTTCTAGTGTACGGTTGATGGAACCGGTCCAATTATATCATATACAACATTGCCAACAAATCGTTCAGACAGCCTTGGCGCAAGTGCAGTGCGCTGGTGCCTGAAAACTACACAGATTTTGCAAAGCAAAATTTTATTGTCCAAAAGGATTTATATTATTTTTTTGTAACTGATGAAATATTATTTCTAATCTGCTCCTTTATAGTAGTTCAGTTTTTGTTCTCTTTGTATTTCGGGTTCTTTCTTTATTGATGCTGCTTTTTTGTTACCAATACTTTTTTACTACTGGTTCTTCTTTTACCAATAGTACTTCTTTTTCTACTACTGCAACATAGTAATGTTACTAACGTTAGACTAACGTTAGACTAATGTTAGACTAATGTTAACTAACGTTATAATCTGATATTAGTGATCAAAAAATGTCGTTAGACTAACGTTAGCCTAATGTTAGTCTAACGTTAGTTAACGTTAGTAGCATTAGCTAACGTTAACTAATGTTAACTTTTCCACCTGGGTCTTGCTTTAACTATTACCCTTTACTATTCTATTACCCTTTACACTATGAAAACTTGCAGCAACATTAACAACCAATGTTGTTGCATAAAGTTACAAGGTTCACAATATTAAGGCAATATTGTTAGTGTTGTTGCAATGTTGTTGCATAAAGTTGCAAGGTTTAAAATATTGAGGCAATATTGTCCATGTTGTTGCATAAAGTTGCAAGTTACTGCTACCACAAACTTTGGATTAAAATAGTTAAAAAAAATTATGGTTATATGATGGTTAAAAATCTCTATACTGTTATCAGCTTTTCTGCACATATTTCAGTTCCTGATAGAGACAAGAAAATTGCAAAGTGATACAGTTTAGTGATTTTGAAGGACTATTTAAAAAACCATATAGATTTAATGATTACCAACTGGTTTGTCGAATGAAATATGGATGTTGTGAATATTGTCCGTAAGATATATGATACACTTGAGGTTGGTTGTTTTAGCGCTGGGTATATGTTTTATCTTCAGTAATGGCGAGACATTCAAGCAACTTCACGATGGGGGTAAAAGGTGTTGGTAAGTGTGGATAAACTCCGGCAAATGCAAGAGGAGTATTGAAGAAAAATTCTAACGGCGTTGGTTACGCACCGATAAGCCGATTAACGGACCGATATTCTTGTTCTTCTCATTCTTCCGGATAAGTAATAAGACGAGAATTTTTCGTCTCCTGTCCCGTTCATTCACCCAATGAATAACTTTGACAATCTGTTTTTAAAAATTTTCAATAATTTATAACTTTCTTATAATATTTTGTTATATATCGCTTTTGTATTTTTAAATGCAAAAGTAATTTGTAACTTTGTAGCAGTGATTTCAAATGGATGATAAAATTACGTCTTCAATTCTGCATACGGACTCAAAAAAAAAAAAAAAAATGTCCAAAGTTAAAAATCGAACTCCAACAACATTATTAGAATCCAGGGACGGTTATGAAACGTTTGTGTTGAGTTCGTGTTGTGTTCTGAACACAACACAAACTTGATATTTGTGTTCATTTGTGTTGGAAAGAGTCCCTGTCACAATCTTTTTGATGTAAAGTTGGAGTCAGATTTTTAACAGCATATAATTCGGATGTTATTAGAATTGTAAGTTATTTTTGAGTAACTTTTGAAATTACTGGCAAAATTTTTGATTGAGCATACTAATTGTGTTAAGTGGTATGGGGTTCCTCCCCGCCCACCCTGTTTTCCGCAGGTACGTTGAGCGTCGGAGTGTCGGGAATGTCAGTTGGATGTGGTGCACCAGGCGTATTGGAATGGACCGGTCAACCGACAGTGCGCAAGAAACGCAAGCCCTACACAAAATTTCAAACACTCGAATTAGAAAAGGAATTTCTCTACAATGCCTATGTGTCGAAGCAAAAACGTTGGGAATTGGCGCGTAATTTAAATCTCACCGAGCGACAAGTGAAAATATGGTTTCAAAATCGACGTATGAAAAATAAAAAAAATAGTCAACGACAAACGCAACAGCAAAACAATAATAACAATAGTAGCGCAAATAATCAGAATCATCATGGTGCAGCGACAAGTCATCATCATTCGAGTAGTGCGCACACACCATCGAGTCATCATGTTGTTGGACAGGCGCACCACGCAAACGGTCCAGTGAAGCATCATCAGTGACCCTTGGCCTTCTCTGGGGTCGTTCTTGGCCACCATCCCCATAGCCATAACACGTCCATTCATGGGGGCAGCCATAGTTTGATCGCAAGTCACAGCCATAATCTTCACACTCCACAACAGACGACATCATCACTACCCCATACATCATCACACGTTGGACAATCCTCGCACCAGTTGACTTCTCATTTGGCTCAGCACCATCCTGCTCTTCTTCACCAATCCCCTCATGGCCTGGCCGCCTGAATTCTCAAAAAGTGGCCTGAGACTGATGATTGACTGCGGTCATTGACCCCCCCAGAGAGAGAGACTTGTTTTGTCACAGCAGCTCAAATTAAAGACTCTTGCCTCTCCGATTTTTAATTCACCCCTTCTTTACCCCCATTTTATCCATTCTGCTCTGTAACCTCCGAGAAACAGTGTAGTAAGTAGTACAACTAATTATTGAACAAAAAATTATGTATAGGGAGTGTGTGCGCAAAAGTCTTAATTGGTCAAAATTGACCCCAAAAAAAAAGGACGTGTCGAGTTGTGTCAAAAATAAAAGCAGTGCAATGCGCGACACCTCCAAGCAATCTGTCCAACCCGTAACACGATAGTATTCCTCCATGCATGTAAAATTAAACAAAAAAACATAATTAGTGTCACTTAGTGTTTCCTAACCCTCTATTACTTTTTTGGACTCACATAGTCGGTTCGAAAAAAAAGGCTGGCAGATCTTTTTAGGGCGAAAAATTTCCTAAAGTTGGTAGTGCTCTCTTAGTATACTCTTGGTACCCAAATCCGATATTCGGAATTCGGACTACAATCTAAATCGATTATATTAGTAAATAATCAACTATTTATCGTTACTATTTTCGATTACTCTAAACAAAAGATGCAAAACACAAAAACCAAGATGTAAACTTTATGGAGCACGATTTAGTTAGCTTAAAATTATTAAGATTGCGTGAACGGTGCATTATTTGTTAAGTTGCGACTAATTTTCCCTCCAAACGAAAATTTTTGTACGGTCCACTTTGGAAAGCCAAATCAAAAAAAAGTTGCACCCAAAGTTTATAAGTGTTTTATACGTAAGTGTTTTTTATCTTTGATTGAAAATCAAAGAGTATTTTTGTTTATTTTTTTTTTTTTGAATAAAGAATGTTTTTTGACCACACTTTAGGAAATTTGCTCCAAAGAGGAAGATTTATAGTAAAATAAAACTGATCCAGCCTTTTGTTTATTATAATAGAAATTTAATGATTATAAAGAAAGCGAAATACAATTTAAAATGAAAAGAAAAATTAGAAATTTTGAAAAAAGTGAAAAGTTAGCTTCTTAAGAAGACATAAGAAAAAAAAACATCGTAATCGTCGCCTAAAAAAAGAATCGCAATTACTGTAGTACCTATATGATTCTTAATTGTATTGTAAAGAAGAAGAAGAAGAAATAAATAAATTTAGATTAAATGTACCTACAGTCAGCGGAATGTGCGGAAACTTTGAGCCGAATTGTAGAATTTCGGAACTTGGACATGTAGCACCTTAGGGAAATTTTCAAAGCTCCTCTTTTTAATTGTGATTCCTGATTAGTACTTAAGGAGTACGTTTATAATTGTCGTACTCGAATGAATAACGGAATCTGTTCAGTTCAAATTTCACTAATTTCATTAATTTTACTAATTTTACTAACTTTACTTTTAGTCAAATTTGAGTTTTAGTTGAAACTAATTTGGTAAAATTAGTAAAATTTTATAATTTAGTAATTTAACATTAATCGCCACGCTCGATCCGCTCGATCGGTGAGTAATTTTCCAGAACATCCTAAGGGTCGATTGTATAATTTCATTTCTACTTTGACTTTCATTTTCACTCTCATTTTTGCTTTCACTTTGACAGCTTTTTATTTTCACTTTCATTTGTCCTTTCACTTTAAAGAATGTTTATTTTTTGCTTTTATTTTCAGTTTCACTTTTACTTTCACAGATTTTTATTCTCGTTTTGAAAATAAAAATTGTAAAGTTGAAATGAAAGTTAAAATAAAAATCTATCAAAGTGAAAATGAAAATGAGAATAAAGTCTATTAAAATAAAACTGAAAGTGAAAATAAAATTGCAAATAAAAACCTATCAAAGTAAAAAATTAAAATCAAAATAAAAAATCTATCAAAATGAAAATTAAAATCAGAACAAAAATCTATTAAAAATATTAAAATAAAATTGAAAGTGAAAATAAAATTGAAAATAAAAGTCAAAGTAGAATTTCTTTTGTAATTTTCTGATTATTTTTTTTTTGTAACTCGTAAAATTGATAAAAAATGCCGTAGAGTGAAGAGGAGGAAAAACGATCTCGAAGTTCCAAGTTCCAAGTTCAATATTACAATCGGACAGATCCAGCGGCGAAACAAGTAGGTAATTTAATCGAATCTTTAAAGAAAAATTATCCCAGTGGTTCTTTACTATTTAAGTTGTAAATTATGTCCTAGTTTCTATGTATATGTCTGCGTACATATGTGTATATCCGAGTGAAAATTGTGTCCGTGTGGGTGTGAGTGGGACTTGACAAAAAAGAAAAAAAAGAAGAAGAAAAAAAAAACATTTGCAAACTTCAGAAACGAGAAAAGAAAATAAAGAAGTTTTCAAAGAAATGTGCATCCCATCAAAAAAGAATATTTTTAACCCAGTGAAAAAAAATTAGTTTATTTGAATTATTATTCTTAAAAATAATAATTTACAAAATCAAAAAACGATTATTAAAAAATAATAATTTCCAATATCATTAGAAAAAAAACTAACTAAACTAAACTAATATTCTTCCAAAAGAAAAAATTTATTATAAAAAAATAATTTCTAAACGAAAAATTTATTAAAAGAATAATTTCCAAAAGAAAAAATTATTAAAAAATAATTCCCCACTCTTTAAATTTAAATGAGTAAAAAAAATTTACTAATTCAAATTAGTGACTGACTTTTTCCTTTGATATTAGTAAATTTTAGTAATAAATTTGAATTTTGAATTTATTTTACATACTTTAAAAAATTTTAATTTTTACTAATTTGAATTAATGATTGACTTTTTGCTTTTGAATTAGAAATTTTGACTATAATAAACAATAATTTTTACTTAATTATTAATAAAATTTACTGTGGAAAAACTACACTATTAATAATTTCTAATAATTAATTAATAAAATTGGTAAATATTATTAATAAGTGGTAAATTTTTAATAATTTATTAGTAAAATTTACTAGTAAAAATTACTAGTAAAATTACTAGTAAAAAAACACAATAATAGTAATTTCTAATAACTTATTAGTAAAATTAGTAAAATTTACTAATAAATAGTAATATCTACTAATTTATTTGTAAATTTTTCTAATAAATTGACCAGTGAAAAAATCACTCTAAAAGTAATTTCTACTAATTTATTAGTCAATTTTACTAATCAATAGTAATTTCTACTAATTTATTAGTCAATTTTACTGATAAATAGTTGATTCTAACAATTTATTAATAAAATTTACTAGTAGAAAAACTACACTAATAGCAATTTCTACTAATTTATTAGTAAAATTTAATAATTCAAAAGAAAATAATCAGTCACTAATTCAAATTAGTAAAAAAATGTTAATATTTACTAATTTGAATTAGTGACTGACTTTTGAATTTATTTTATGAATTTTTTACAATTTTATTTTTTACTGATTTTAATTAGTGTCTTAATTTTTGCTGTTGAATTAGTAAATTTTACTAATAAATAGTAATTTTTACTAACTTATTTTTACTAACTTATTTGTAAAATTTACTAGTGAAAAATCCACACTAATAGCAACTTCTAATAATTTATTAGTAAAATTAGTAAATTTTATTAATAAATAGGAATTTTCCACTAATTTATTAGCAAAATTTACTCACGAATTTATTAGTAAAGTTTACGAAGGAAAATAATTTAAAACACAAGTTCCACTAATTTGTTATTAAAATTTACTAATTTAGCAACAAATAGTCTGTTCGACTTCCATGAAACGAAGGAAATTATTAAAAATAACATTCGAAAAAATTTATTAAAAACAATAACTTTTTTCTTATAATATTATAATAGAAAAAATTTTTTTAGAATAAATGTTTTCCTACAGATTTCTAAATATTTTTTCCTTTTATTTTGATATTCTGTAATGAAATTTTTTCGAATTTAAATTTTCTTTTCATTGCTATAAAATTGGATATAACTGCTATAATTAACTATAAAATTGGACGTTGAATTTTTATTAAAAGTTTTTTGAGAAAGATTTTTTTTTTTTTTGATGGGATGTACAATTCTTGTGTTTTCATAAGGTGGAGAGAAAGAAGTAAACATTTTGCATTAAAGAAAAAAAAATGGTAGAAATCTATTAGGTATATTTGGCCCGTGAAACTGGGTTCGAACAACTGTATAGTTCTGCCACAGTACTAGTTATTATATAACGATGATAATATAATATGCTGCAAGTAATGAATTTAAAGAATTGAATTTAAAAAAAAAAGTAAACGATCCCGGTCGCGACTCAGTCATCGCACCAAGCTAAGCTTTTCAGCGAACATTGTAATATTTATAATAATTATTATATCGATGACGATGTTTATTAAGAATTATTAAGGTTAATAAGATTATTATATTATTATATATTATTATATTATTATTATATATTATTATTATTATTATTATTATTATATTATTATATTATTATTATTATTATTATTATTATTATTATTATTATTATTATTATTATTATTATTATTATTATTATTATTATTATTATTATATTATTATTATTATATTATTATTATTATTATTACCATTATATTATTGTGCGCGTCACGTTAATATTATGTTATTGTTTTTATTGTGTGTTGTTTTGTATGTACCTATTCGCCTATATAATAATAATAATAATATTATTATATTATTATTATTAAAAAAAATGATAAAGCAATGACTCACTCATAAAGAAAAAAAAATGGTGTTATTAAATGTATATATTGTCTTGATCCGATACTAACTGTTGTACTTGTAGTGTACACGCTAATTTTTTTTTAAAGGCGTGATATTCGTTATTATATATAGTACAATTTTCAGTACCATCTTTTTTCCTTTTCTCCTATTAATCGACTAGTATATCCATTGCGAAAGATTCATAGGATTCTCTTCTCTAGTCAGAACAGAATATTGAAAGGGAATTTATATTCAAAAGAAAAAAAAGAGAGAGGATGGTAGATTTTTCATTAAGACTGTCATTATTATTTTTTATTTTTTTTTTGTTCGTTTTATGAAATTATTAGTATTACTATACAAAGAATAATAAAAAAAAAAGATGCGTGTTGAACAATTCATTATTCATTGATTATGTCAATTTATATATAAATATATATATAAATATATTATAAAAAAAAAAATTATTGTCAATTTCATTGTATGAAATTATGGAGAGAAAAATTGATTTTGTCGAATTGTATATTATTCTTGAGGTTAGCCAGTGACGGGCACACTCATTTTTTTTTTTTTTTGTAAAAAACTTCTATTTTTTTTTTGTTTTTTGCTTTTCTTGTCACTTTTGTTTATTCGACTTGGACAATATAGAATTCATAATAATGAAAATGTATTTTCCAGAAAATTTCAAGCAATACAGTAAAAAACATAAATAAAAGTTCATTGAATCGCATCATATGTGAATTAATAAAGTACTTCGATTTCTTCTTTTTTTGCCCCTCTCTGGTTCGTATATAAAAAAAAAACTTTCGAAATGAAAAAAAAAAAAAATACATTCGTGGTGTTTTCGAAAAAATTTTACAAATGAAACACAAATTTTTTTGCGCTATGTGTATTTTTGAAAATTAGAAATTGTTTTTCGAAAAAATTACACTTTTTTAAAAGGGGAATTTTTTTTTTAAAATATCTAAATTACCGTAAGTTTTACGTAGACATGTAGGAAACAATTAGACATTTTGCAGATGAATAATATATTGTAAAGTATTTAAATGATTATTATGTGTAAATAATATTGAAGTATTAATAATAAAATAAGTTATCGTGTAAACCAAGATAAAGAAAAACGACTTTGAAAAATTGTTTTCTATTTCTTATACGAAAAAAAACGAAAAAAAAAACAAAACTACAATTTGTTTTGAAAAAATTTTTACATTTTCAAATTTTTTTTTAGAACAATTTTGCCATTAAAAAAAAATTTCAATAGTATTTGAAAATAAATTTAAGTAATTCGTCGAAAATTTTATACTAGATTTCAAATTTTCAATTTTTTCAGTAAATTTATTTATTTCTAAAAATCTATAAAATAATTATTGACTTTTGCGAAAAATAATGAATTTCTTATTTCAAAATAATGAAAATATATATTTTTTAATAAATAATTTTTGTAGAAAAAAAATTTTTTTTTTAAATTTGAGAAAGGAATTTTCTAATTCGAAAAAAGAAAAAAAATTGAAGAACGGAATTCAATGTCTTCGTGCGTAAGTTACGCTATTTTTGCATATAGATATATAAAGGCAACACCCATGAATATTGAAGATGAATTTAAAAAAAGAAGGTAAGTAATATCTTCTCTTGTATCTAATTAGTACTCGTAAATAATAATTCACAAAGAAATATATAATGATGACGGAAAAAGTATACATACTTCTAAAAAAAAAAAAAAAAAAAAAAAAAAAAAAAAAAAAAAAAAAAAAATACAAAAGTGAAATAATTAGAATTTTACATGAAATCCAGATAAGCTTCTTGTTTGTAAAACTATTCTTATCTACAATTCAATGAGTCCCCGCGACTGTCTAACAAATTACCTATCATTGTGTTAAGATACACATAAAGATTAGCGTATTACCATTTATTCAAATGCAAGTAATAAATTTACTCGAACAATGTAAAATTTGTAAAAATTGCATAAATTATTTCATTTAGAAGAAATTCTTATTTAT